TTTGTTTAAAACAAAAAATTTAAATTTAAATTTTAGGAACGGGGTTTGGGATTAAAATGTTTGAAAATTAATTATTATTAGAAAACTAAAGAAATATATTATTCCTGTGCTATGTACTTCTCACGATAATAATATCGTTATTTACTACAAGTACATGTACAAGGTATACAAGTACATGTACAAGGTATACAAGTACATGTACAAGGTATACAAGTACATGTACAAGGTATACAAGTACATGTACAAGGTATACAAGTACATGTACAAGGTATACAAGTACATGTACAAGGTATACAAGTACATGTACAAGGTATACAGGCCATAGCTGACATCAGCTGGAGTGATCATGTCAGAGGATCTCACCTTCAAGGACCATAACATTTGTAAAGTAAAAGGACACAAGTGCAACTAATGTGACATTTTATTGTGGCAACGTTTCGCTTGATAAAGCTCCTGGAGAGCGAAACGTTGCCACAATAAAATGTCACATTAGTTGCACTTATGTCCTTTTACTTTACATATTGTCGGTAATTCTATCAACTTTATTACGACCATAACATTGTATCAATCACATCTGCTAGAAAAATGACAGGATGAATAATGAGAACCTTCAAAACTAGGAATGCCAAGCCCATGATGACACTCTTCAGGTCACTTGTTCTATCTAGGCTGGAATATTGCTGCACACTAACAGCACCTTTCAAGGCAGGTGAAATTGCTGACCTAGAAAATATACACAGAACCTTCACGGCTCGCATAACGGAGATAAAACACCTCAATTACTTGGAGCGCTTGAAGTTCCTGAACCTGTATTCCCTGGAACACAGGCGGGAGAGATACATGATTATATACACCTGGAAAATCCTAGAGGGACTAGTACCGAACTTGCACACGAAAATCACTCACTACGAAAGCAAAAGACTTGGCAGACGATGCAACATCCCCCCAATGAAAAGCAGGGGTGTCACTAGCACGTTAAGAGACCATACAATAAGTGTCAGGGGCCTGAGACTGTTCAACTGCCTCCCAGCATACATAAGGGGGATTACCAATAGACCCCTGGCAGTCTTCAAGCTGGCACTGGACAAGCACCTAAAGTCGGTACCTGACCAGTCCGGGCTGTGGCTCGTACGTTGGTTTGCGTGCAGCCAGCAGTAACAGCCTGGTTGATCAGGCTCTGATCCACCAGGAGGCCTGGTCACAGACCGGGCCGCGGGGGCGTTGACCCCCGGAACTCTCTCCAGAGAGACTTCTGCAAACTTCTGCAAATACTACTATATAGAAAGCCGCTTGTTAGGCTGAGCATTTACTGCAAATTAGGTCAGTTTTGTCCCAGGATGCGACCTGAGTCAGAATAGAATGCAGTTTGCACCCACTTTCCACAAGTAGTGTTATGAAACCCCATTTTTTTTTATCAAAATATTCTAACACCTAATTTTCATTTTATTTTGTTAATCTGAAAGCAGTGAATTGTCAGTTATTCAAACACAACCTTATAGTTTGTACTTTTACTAGACACCTCAAGACCTTCATCTTGTTTGCTTAAAAAAGTAACAGTTCTTTTTTTTTTTATTTGTAACTGTCTTTTACCATCCTCTATTAGTATAGAACTATATTTTTAACAGTCTATTGTGTTCCCTCTATAATAAGGTTAGTGCAATACAATCCAAAATTAGCTGCAAGTGGTACACAGTTTGCTCTTTATATTCTCATTCGTCCCGGCTGGTCAGCCGGCCAGTTGACAGTGTGAACTAAAATTGAAATGTCTTAGCATGAAGTGTTTAGCAAAAGCTATAAATTTGTTTAATGAGTCCCAGTTATGTCTTGCTAATCACTCATTCTTTTTTTTTTACAGATAATCATTAGAGTGCAAGAACACATTCCATGCCAGCACCCAGTATAACTCAGGGAACATTATAAATAAAACTTCAAGCAAGAAGATAGGGAAACACTCATTTTTTACCATTGTGTCAATATCACATGATCATCTAGCAGGCAAAACAGAAGATCAAATAGGAATAAAATCATATTGGTGTTCATTGTGCCTAAAGAATACTAACTATAACTCTAAATTTATTATACACATGAGTAGCCATACAGGTGAGAGACCATATAATTGTTCAGAGTGTCAAAAACAATTTTCACAAGAAGGCTATTTAAAAATGCACATGAATCTTCATACAGGAGAGGAAAAACACCTGTGCTCAAGGAAACATCATCAGTGTTCAGTTTGTGTGAAGAATTTTGCACAAAAACACTTTCTAGATGATCATATTAAAATTCATACCGGAGAGATGCCATACCAGTTTATGGAATCTCAAAACGGCTTTAAAAATAAATCTAAATTGATGAGACTCATGCAGGTCCATAAAAGAAAGAAATCATACCCTTGTACTGAATGTCAAAAGACCTATAAAGTAAAATCTAATCTAGTTCTCCATATGAAAGTTCACCAAAAGACATCATACCGCTGCTCTGAGTGTCTAATTTGCTTCAAAGAAAAATATGAGTTAGTGAAACACATGAGGAACCATACAGGAGAGAAACCATATAAATGCTCAAAGTGTTTAAAAAATTTTGCACAAAGCTCTGAATTAGTAGAACACTTGAGGGACCATACAGGAGAGAAACAATATAAATGCTCAAAGTGTTTAAAAATTTTTGCACAAAGCTCTGAATTAGTAGAACACATGATGGACCATACAGGAGAGAAACCATATAAATGCTGCGAGTGTCCAAAGACTTTTAAACAAAAATTAATATTAGTAAAGCACATGAGGAATCATTCTCTAAGGAAACCATATGAATGCTCAGAATGTCTAAAGAAGTTTAATAACAAATCTGATTTAGTAATACACATGAGGAAGCATACAGGAGAGAGACCATATCAGTGCTCAAATTGTCTGAAGAAGTTTTCTAGGAAACGTCATTTAGTAAAACACACCAAGATTCATACACAGACCAAACCAGGTCAGTGCTCTTGAGTTCCTAAAAGCCTTTTAGTGTTAAACATTTAAGCAAAATACGAATATTCATTCATAACACTAAGCTTAGGTTGAGACTATATGACAGAATGAGGTAATATTAACCCCCCTTTTAACTGTCAAACTGTTGATGAACTCATTACTGCTAGCACTCCAGACATTGATCAGTGCACTGTTTTTCCTGCATTCAAATGTCACACCAGAAGCCTGATAAGCTAGCAGTATAGAATGGGTCTTGACACTCAGTGTATTAAAAAAGTCTGGGACCACTTAGTACCTTGTGGGAGCACCAGTTCAATTGAGTGCCAGCTACAGCCCTGGTGGCCTGGTGGCTAAAGCTCTTGCTTCACACACTGAGGGGCCTGGGTTTGATTCCTGGCGGGGTGGAAACATTTCGACGCGTTTCTTCACACCTGTTGCCATGTTCACCTAGCAGCAAGTAGGTACCTGGGTGTTAGTCGACTGGTGTGGGTCGCATCCTGGGGGACAAGATTAAGGATCCCAATGGAAATAAGACAGACAGTCCTCAATGACGCACCGACTTTCTTGGGTTATTCTGGGTAGGTAACACTCCGGGGTTAAAAATCTGAAGAAAATCTTCTCTAGCATGGCAAACCCTAGTGATTTCATTTTCTCTTTTCAGGAGGA